TGAGCTGCAGGTGGTAGCAAGCTCAGGCCTTATTTTTTTCGTACTGCTTTATTAGCGAGGACATTTAAATCAGGAATTCATTTTGTAGCGTGTCTGTTTTATCTATGTATATTTTTTGCGGTTAGGGCACCACAATATAGGTTCATATATCACTTTTGATTTAATGTATGTTATGATTATTTTTCGTAAGCAACATTAATATATATTAATACTATTTTCAAGGTACGAGTTTCCCATCTCTGCAACTCTGACTTTCTGGTGATAACTTCTTGCTTATTGTTATCCTTATAATCTTTTTCCCTTTCTTGTGTTTCCAATATTTATCACATAATCTGTAATCTTCATGGGGTCTCTTTCACTTTCTCCCGTTTCTATTCCATGGTAATTGTCCATCATCCGATGTCACTTCACATGCTTATTTTATCTTAATCTTCTTGTAGAGCTTTACAGTCATTTGGATTTTCTATTTGTGTGTCTGGCATGGATATTGATGCGGACTTCCACGAACGGTATTTGGTGTTCCACGAACATGTAGGGAGTAAACGCGTTGAGCTTGCGTGTGGTGTTAATGTGAAATAATGGTGTGGGAGGTGTGGTTACCAGGAACGGGAATACTGTGTCATGAATGAACTAGTGTATTATGAGCATGCAAATGGTGTGGGTAATTTTAACATGTGGCTCTTCTGGGTTTCAAACTTGCTGTTTTTATGGGTATTTAACACGTCTGGTTTCAGAAGCGCTCGTCTGGGTATCAAAAACTTGTATTCGATTTCAAACGTAATATGGATGTATTCGATTTCAATCGTAATAAATTAATATATGGATGTTTTGTAAACGAGGTGAGTAAGGATTTAATTTTGATGAAAATATATATTATCGTTAATTTGTTAAGTTCAATGCAGAAGGGTCGCAGGTTGTTCATAAAATCCTCAGTTCGGCTGTACACTAACATCACTCAAATTGAGATTAAACTTCCGGTGTATATATATCGTGTTTCACCATTATGTACAAAATGTGAAAATTGATAAAGTACGTATCAATTTTTCAAGGGAAGTGCCTAAATCCTGGTGAATGGCTCTTGATCAAAGGAATTGGAGCTATACTTCCCTCGGATTAAACCTTATTACCTCCCATTACCCATGTGCTGTATGACCCCTACAGGCTTGGGCTGTTTTGTGACTGATTATGTCTTTTTTCTTCTGGTCCACATTCAAATAAACCGATGTTTTAACTCTTAGTACTACTTTCAAATCTGCTTTATTCTTAGAGATATTTTTGGCAAGAGGTTTTGAATAAAAACTTTTATTTACTCTGGTTCATGCAAGTCATGATTCTGGAAATCTTAAGATTTATAATGTACATCTAGGGGATATATACTGGGTTTTGTATACGTTCTAAATTTGTTGACTTGGGCTGTGAGTGTTATCGACGTGTAGGCTCTCATTGTATTTGTGCTGTTGTCAAGTATGTACCTCTTGAACGAATGCGTATTATGTACTTAGTAGGAAACGTGCAGTAGCTGTTTATAAGTCATAAAAGTGTTAGTGCACGTGAATATCGTAAAAGTAGATGTCCACCAATTTATGGTGATGACTCCTGGAGTCATAGCTACCTTAGCTTGGTATCAAACCAGGCTTCTTGGTTGACGCTGTTTTCAGTTAGGCTATTGGTGCTTGTGGAAAGCAGTCCGATGTACACACCACAGCCTGGCAGAACAGGAATAGTTTCCAAGAAGCTGTCAAACACAAATGAAGACAGAGGTATGTTGGTAATTCCCCTTTTATTACAAAAGTGTTCCGAGGATTAGCGCCGAATCAGCCCGGCCCCCAGACCAGGCCTCTTGGTTGGCCTTTATTCATAGTTATTCTTTAGTACATTTACTTCATCCTTTTCTTTACGATACAGTATCTCGCTCTCCTAGGGGATTCTTAATCCCTCCAATATTTTCCAGGTGTAAATTAAACATCTCAGTAATTTGTGTGTTTAAAGTTAAACAGATGTGGTCAGGCAAAGTTTTTTTTTGCACAATCTTGAGATGTACAGTATCGCCAACCTTGATTATATGAAGTTGTTAGTGTACAGTACTGTTCCAGTGTAGGATGTTCAAGACCCTCAAAGAGTATCATCACTACCTCAGCTTCTGTTGTTTCGTAGGTTTATGGTGTCCATCCTGTCATTTTATTGCTGATGTAAAGCACACTGTCGTGTTCCATGAACTTTAAGACATTCCGACATGGTTTTTCTCTAGGTCACTTACATTCTTCTTCCGATGTATAGTGTGGTTTGTGTTTTGTTAATGTTCATGTTGTTTCACGATTTCCAGAGTAGCAGAAATTTTATCTTTTTAAGTATAATTAGGTATCCTCGAAGGTGTACCTTCAAGTAATTATCTGAATATTTTTCCAAGGTTTACGTTTGTAATTGAGAACGCCTCATGTGATCATCTTCAAATTTTAACGCTGGTGTACTGTAACTTGGGAAAGGTCAGTTCAGCTATGGGCATGTGCAAATGCCCTCTGGTCAGTTTTATGCAGACTATTCCCAGTTTTGGTTTCCCTGCAATAACTTGAGAATGCCTTTTCTGATCGGCTTCAAACTTTGGAACACTGGTGTATCCTACTAAAAAAGTTAGAATTGTTACTGGAGTGTGCAGATGCCAATCAGCCAATTTTATTTTTAAAGTGGTGTATATTGTTCATGAAATAACTGGAGTATGCCTTTGCAGCACAAATTTTTAATAGCTGATTTGTCACTTGGCCAGGATGGTACCCAACAAGTTTCGGCTTTGTAGATGTAAATTGTCTAATTTCCTGAAATAATTAAAAAAATTTTAGAATCATTGGATTTGGAGCATTAACTGGAGAATGCCTCTTTTGATCGGCTTGAAACGCTTAGTGATGGAGGGTTTTGCTCATATTTTGAGCTTTACAAGTTTCAATTTGCCAATTTTTTTATCAAATTGCATTACATGGAATAAATTGACAATGCTTCGTCTGATCGACTTCAAGTTGTAAATGTTGGTGGCTCCTAATTTGATTTTTGGGGGAGTTTTGATCTTGGGCTGTGTAGGTGCCAATTTGCCATTTTTATTGATATTATGAAAATTAAACTTTTGGTTTTCATGCGATTTGTGAATGCCTCATCCGATCAGCTTCAAACCTTCGACACTGATTGATCTTACTTAGAGGAAGCTTTGGACTGTGAAGGGTGCTAATTTGCAAAGTTCTATTTCGACCCCTTCAGTTCTCCTTGTCAGGTAGCTCATAGGAAGTATGCAAATCGAACCTTAAAAAAAAAATTATTATATATAATATTGTAGACAATTTAAAATAGTATAATTAAATAAAACGAAAATATAGAAATAATGACAACGTAGATTTTTATGTGGTTTTTAAGTTTCACGAGTAGTGAGTCATTATATATTTTCGTACGACTTTATTGTAGCGTCTTTTTGCGTGGGCAACACCTCATCTAATAGGATTCAAATTGTAAATGTAGGTGAAGTATAACTAGGGTAATGCTCAGAGAACTATTGGAATGGACAGGGGCCCTTTTGGATATGTAAAGCTATTCCTGAGTTAGATATTGAGTGGAGGCAAGCGGTTTTTGATCTGTGTTGTTGGAGTGTGAGCAAGGTGACATTTGTAAAGGGATTCAGGAAAACCAGTTAGCCGGACTTGAGTCCTGGAGGTAAGAAGTGGAGTACCTGCACTCAGGAGGGGTGATGTTACACTTGGAAGGGACATTTGAACTGTGATGTTACCACACTTGTGCAAAACACTGTCTGAGTCATTGACACTGTAAGAGCTCTCCTCTTTTTCACTAATAAAATCAGTGAGAATATACAGTAGTTGGATACAGAAAAGCAAGATAATTTTTCAAATAAAACTTCGGAGATTCTAGCAATACCCACTGTGAATATTTATTGATAAGTGCTTTCTGAAGCAAAGCGAGGTAATTGAGACTACAGTGGTGTCTAGGATCAGACTAAAACTCTACTTAATGTATAAGTCAAAATGAGTGGGAGAAATACTAATTGCAATGAATATAGAGCATAAATAGAAGCGCTAAATGTTTGGCTAATGGCCTAATTCAGTGTTTTGACTAGGAAAACTAATTTGCGCGTGCAGTGTGGCGTGGGCAACATGGATGCTGAACATGGGCATGATGGGCATGCACTAGAGACAGGTAGAAGCGCCCTGGGTACGTGGGCAGCGTGTAACTTGTGAGTAGTACAAGCCTGCGTGGGTGCTGCACATGTGGGTAGAGTGTGTGGGCGGCCAAGACACCAAAATGTTAACAGGGAAAGGGTGAGGTGGAAAGAAGAGATTTGCTGAGGTTAATTCATCCTGTGTTATTTCCTTACAAAGTCACGTGTTAATTCCGTGAATAAAATTAATCTTTTTATATCAGGTCACCTGAAGACTCGCTACCTCCCCTCCCCTACTTCCAAGACAACGCTTACCTAACATAGTTATACAAATCTTTAGATAGATTAGGTACACTTAAGTTATTTTGTCCAGTACACTGTATTGCGTACGTAAATTTTCGCAATAGTGGGTTAGGTTGTTAGAATACTTTTGGCGCATAATTAAAAATATGTTTTCCTTTTATATACCTTTAGTAAGTTTCGAGAGTTTTTCTATTCCCGGAGTCTGGCTTTTGGTCAGACTTGTCTGGTTCTTGCCTGGTCGACCTGGCTCTTGCTGCTGGCAGCCCGCTGGCCCACATGTCCATAACAGCATAACTTATGCTGTCTAATAAAATTACGTACGCCCAGAGGGTACAGCCATCTTATTCTATGAGAACGAAAACTAGAGCTTACCCTGGTATATCTCATCGAACAGTAAGAGTAGCATACACGATGTAATATGTCAGTCTTTGCTGAAAGATTTCAGTAGGGTGTTAAGGAAATCATATGGTTTAGTTAAGATTACCTCGGAGAGTGTCCGAGAGGGGTTTCAATCCTTATCTCTTACTTTTTAATTTATATGTTACAGGGTCCTGCTGTAGTGGGAGAAAATGATTCCTAGGTACTTGATAACACTGCTGATGTTGGCAGTGGTGGGAGCACAGCTTGACACTTCCCAAGTGGTGGAAGACCAGATCGACGCTACTTCCCCAGTGGTGGAAGACCAGCACGATACTTTCCCAATGGTGGAAGACCAGGACAACACTTACCCAGTGGTGGAAGACCTGCTGCACGACACTTACCCAGTGGTGGAAGACCAGCCCGACACTTACCCAGTGGTGGAAGACCAGCCCGACACTTACCCAGTGGTGGAAGACCAGCCCGACACTTACCCAGTGGTGGAAGACCAGCCCGACACTTACCCAGTGGTGGAAGACCAGCCCGACACTTACCCAGTGGTGGAAGACCAGCCCGACACTTACCCAGTGGTGGAAGACCAGCCCGACACTTACCCAGTGGTAGAAGACCAGCCCGACACTTACCCAGTGGTGGAAGACCAGCCCGACACTTACCCAGAGGTGGAAGACCAGCCCGACACTTACCCAGTGGTGGAAGACCAGATTGACGCTACTTCCCCAGTGGTGGAAGACCAACCCGATACTTACCCAGTGGTGGAACATCAGCCCGACACTTACCCAGTGGTGGAAGACCAGCCCGACACTTACCCAGTGGTGGAAGACCAGCTCGACACTTACCCAGTGGTGGAAGACCAGCTCGACACTTACCCAGTGGTGGAAGACCAGCACAACACTTACCCAGTGGTGGAAGACCAGCACGACACTTACCCAGTGGTGGAAGACCAGCACGACACTTACCCAGTGGTGGAAGACCAGCACGACACTTACCCAGTGGTGAGAGGACGAAGGAAAACTTCTCCCAGAAAAGAAAGGTGTGAACACCTGAAGCTAACATACACATGCACAGATTTACCGGTATTGATTGTTGACTTTGATCAGGTAAGAAATGGCAAATACCTAGTCTTTCTGTTAGGTTATTAGATCGATGGAAAGAATAGGGAACGACAAGACTGGGTAGAATAGAGCAGTTAAGTGGCCTGACCACCACTTTCGTTTTATTTTTTAAGCTTTATTTTTTTATTATTTTTTTTTGTCATTCTTCAGTGTGAAATTTTCTGTGCGTAGATTTTTTTTTATTCTACAAAATGTATAGTTTTATACAACATAATTATTTCCAATTATTGTTCATTACATTCGCACGCAATGGTGCTGTGGTGTCTACACCTAAAAAAATGCGTGAATAGCTTAGAAAAGGTCCAAAGAGGAACTTCAAATTAGTTACCAGAGTTAAAATATACTAGATATGATGAAAGGCTGAAAATACTAAAAATTCCCCGGCTGGTCGACGGGGTCAGAGGGGCCACGATAACCACAAATAAGGTCATAAAAGGACATGAAAGATAATAGTTTTTTTTTTTCGTACCTGCAACAGGGATAACAAGAAGCCATAGTTTTAAATTGAGAAAAAAGTGGAGTCGAAGGGATATAGGAATTTTTTTTCACAAACTGTAGTAGAGGACATAGTAAGTGCTTCAACTATTGGAAGTTATAAAAACTTGTATGAACAAATTATTGAAGATGAGACACTACGAGCTCATCTTTACTCCTGTAGCTACAATTTGGTGATTACAAATAAGTAATTATACACGTAATTATACAATGTTTTTATCTTGATATTTAGCTGCCGGAAGTCTACGAACAATTAAAATATGTTTAACCCACTTCACCTAAGTGAATAAGTGCAGCATTCAGCTCGTGTGAATATTCATATATCTTTACAGGTATCCGTACGAACATGCGGCTCCTATCATCATCCAGAAATGTTAGAGACGGTGATTGGTGTTTCCTGGCAGGAAGCCGATGAAGTAAGTGCAGGCTACATCTACAATGATTATATATATATATATATATATTATATATATATATATATATATATATATATATATATATATATATATTTTAACAAGTCGGCCGTCTCCCATCGAGGCAGGGTGACCCAAAGAGAAAGAAAAATCTCCAAAAAGAAAATACTTTCATCATTCAACACTCACTTTCACCTCACACACATAATCACTGTTTTTGCAGAGGTGCCCAGAATACAACAGTTTAGAAGTATATACGTATAAAAATACACAATATATCTCTCCAAACTGCCAATATATTATATATATATATATATATATATATATATATATATATATATATATTAATATATACGTATATATATATATATACATATATATCGTGCCGATTAGGTAAACTGGTCAATTAGCAAGAACTCATTTAAAATTAAGTCCTTTCTAAAATTTTCTCTTATACGTTTAAAGATATATTTTTTCATTAAAATTAAAGTAAAAATTTATAATTTTGCATCAAAAGAATCTTAGAAAACTTACCTAACCTTATTATAGCAAGAACATTTTAGCCTAACCCAACTAAATATATTTTAGATTTGTTTACAATAATTTAATACTAAACAAACACAGAAATATATTTTTTTCGTTAGGTTCAGAATGATTTTGGCGAAATTATTACATACACAAATTTTCGCTTGTCTTATATGACAAGATGAACGTTGCTATTTAAACCAAGATCGCAAGTTCTGCCTATTCGGCACGGCGCGCATATATATATATATATATATATATATATATATATATATATATATATATATATATATATATATATATATTATATATATATATATATATGTTTAATATATTTATAGATGGGGTTGTAAGAGAAGTAAATGCGAGGGTCTTGGCAAGAGGTGTGGAGTTAAAAGATAAAGAATCACACATAAAGTGGGAGTTGTCACAGTTGCTCTTTGCTGATGACACTGTGCTCTTGGGAGATTCTGATGAGAAGTTGCAGAGATTGGTGGATAAATTTGGTAGGGTGTGCAAAAGAAGAAAATTAAAGGTGAATACAGGAAAGAATAAGGTTATGAGGATAACAAAAAGATTAGGTGATGAAAGATTGAATATCAGATTGGAGGGAGAGAGTATGGAGGAGGTGAATGTATTCAGATATTTGGGAGTGGACGTGTCAGCGGATGGGTCTATGAAGGATGAGGTGAATCATAGAATTGATGAGGGGAAAAGGGTGAGTGGTGCACTTAGGAGTCTGTGGAGACAAAGAACTTTGTCCTTGGAGGCAAAGTGGGGAATGTATGAGAGTATAGTTTTACCAACCCTCTTATATGGGTGTGAAGCATGGGTGATGAATGTTGCAGCGAGGAGAAGGCTGGAGGCAGTGGAGATGTCATGTCTGAGGGCAATGTGTGGTGTGAATATAATGCAGAGAATTCGTAGTTTGGAAGTTAGGAGGAGGTGCGGGATTACCAAAACTGTTGTCCAGAGGGCTGAGGACATGTAGAGAGAATGGAGCGAAACAGAATGACTTCAAGAGTGTATCAGTCTGTAGTGGAAGGAAGGCGGGGTAGGGGTCGGCCTAGGAAAGGTTGGAGAGAGGGGGTAAAGGAGGTTTTGTGTGCGAGGGGCTTGGACTTCCAGCAGGCATGCGTGAGCGTGTTTGATAGGAGTGAATGGAGACAAATGGTTTTTAATACTTGACGTGCTGTTGGAGTGTGAGCAAAGTAACATTTATGAAGGGGTTCAGGGAAACCGGCAGGCCGGACTTGAGTCCTGGAGATGGGAAGTACAGTGCCTGCACTCTGAAGGAGGGGTGTTAATGTTGCAGTTTAAAAACTGTAGTGTATAGCACCCTTCTGGCAAGACAGTGATGGAGTGAATGATGGTGAAAGTTTTTCTTTTTCGGGCCACCCTGCCTTGGTGGGAATCGGCCAGTGTGATAATAAAATAATAAAAATATATGTCGTGCCGAATATGTAAAACTGGTTAATTAGCAAGAACTCATTTAAAATTAAGTCCTTTCTGAAATTTTCTCTTATACGTTTAAAGATATATTTTTTTCATTAATGGTAATGTAAAAAATTTTAATTTTGCTCCAAAAGAATCTTAGAAAACTTACCTAACCTTATTATAACAAGAACAATTTATTTTAGCCTAACCCAACTAAATACATTTTAGATTTGTTTACAGTAATTTAATACTAAACAAACACAGTGAAATATATTTTTTTCGTTAGGTTCAGAATGATTTTGGCGAAATTATTGCATACACAAATTTTCACTTGTCCTATATGGCAAGATGAGCGTTGCTATTTAAGCCAAGATCGCAAATTCTGCCTATTCGGCACGACATATATATTTCATAGCAGGAACTATCCACCTTAGAACGTGCTTTTTATCAACGTTTCGGTAGCAAATCAGTTCAAATATTCTAAATCTGTTAGTGTTTCCCATCCGCTAGCAGTCATACAGCGCCTGGGAAGTGGAAGATAATAAGATTCATTCAGAGGGAATGCAAGGGTAACTCCAATTCCGTTTATCACGAGCTCTTCAACCTCAAGGCACCTCCCTTGAAGGGTTGAGGGAATTAACCAATCGCAAATCACCTTTAATAGTGACGCCAGCGCCGCACTGACGCAATAGAGCGCAGTTTGTCTCCTATAGGTGTTCTCCATGTTTCTTCTCTTGGTATACCTCTGGTGCAATTCCTTTTTTCTCCATCTATAATATTTAATTGAAAATTAGTTTATTAGTGACTATTCTCGCTGCCCGGCAACCTTTTACCTTTGGGCTGGCTTGATCTTCGGGTTGGTCCTCTTTAGTATTGTAACGACCGCTCTGTATTTCCCAACTGCTGGTAATCCCTTGACCCTTTGTTCTAGTCTGGCGTTATCTTATTTCACGATTACATTTTTTCGCGGCTTACGTTTATCGTATTTTTTGGGTAACAGGAGTTTACAACACTCAGTCTGTACTATTATTGTTATTATAATCAAAGAAAGCGCTAAACTTATACTGTTCTTAGATGTAAATAAATTCATAGTTTGTATATTTTAATGCATGAAAGTCAAAAAGTAATCGAGTTTTTTGCTCCCACTTCCCTTGTCATCTACATATGTTTTTTTTAATTACATACATATCATACGTATCATACATATGTTTTTTTTAATTACATACATATCATACGTATCATACATATGTTTTTTTTTTAATTACATACATATCATACATATGGAGGTTAATGTGACTAATTAAATACACTTGATCATAAACCCTGCAAGTTGACGTTTTCTGTAGGTGAAGGTATCCGTTTCTTATAGAAGCATTCCAGGATTATTTTTAAAGTCGTAGAACGACGTTTAAAGACTCTTGAAAATTCAAGCTTTATCTTTTATTATTATTATTATTTATAGAAAAACGCTCGAAACTCGTGTAGGTTATAAGACGCAATATAGAGATCGAGGAGCTGACGGCATAGGAAAGAAGTATGAAGGGTAGCCTCAGGTGTTATGATAACTTTGGGTTAAGACATGGTGAAGAGTGTCAGTGTTGAAGCTACGGGACACTACTATTTTTTCCCTTGTACATTTCTTGAATTTTGATTCTGTTAGGACTGCATTTTTAATTTTACTCTAATGGTCTTTGACCTTGAAATTTTATGTATGGGGGAAGCACAAAACTCGTAGGGGTCATACAACGCGCCTGGGGAAATGGAAGGCAATCAGGTTCGATCGAAGGAAATAAAGGACTATTCCTATTCCTTGGATCAAGAGCCCCTCACTGACATTAAGAACCTGCCTTGAAGGGAGGGCTTGAAATAGGTTCTGTTGATCTTTAATCCTATTTGCAAAACTGTTAGGCAGGTATCTAGGCTATTAAAGTTTTTTTTTTTTTTTTTTTTTTTTTTTTGAGTCCCCCCCAAATTCTGAAGAGTTAATTTTGACCTTTACATTTGCAAGTCTGCCAGGATTCTTTTCATTCATCTGGAAGAGATGCCTTGATGCCTCCTTCAAATCAAACCTGGTTACTTCTCATTCACCAGGTGCTGTATTTCCCTAATGGGTTTAGCTCTCCCATATATGATGATAACCACTGTGCTCTTAAAATGTAATACGTATTTCCTAAGTAAACTTATCGTAATTAAGGCCACTTATAAGCATTATTGATGACTGGCAACTAGTGACAGCCCATTTGTTAATTTCTTCATGTTATCCATTCACACATGACCTTTGACACAGTTGGACACCCAGTCTATACAAAGGCTTACTGTGACAACGTTTCGCTTTAATGAGAGAGAAACGTTTTCACGTTGTTTATTCTGCACCTGTCTTACTGAACATTTACTACCCAACTTCCACCAAATCTCATCTCTCGTACAGCTACAACTGCCCTTAGTACATCGATCCTCTGGCAGGGAGAGACGTATGGCAAGTCTCCTTATACCTACAGCTCTTGTTCACCTAGCAATAAATATGTGCCTGGGTGTTTATAGTGCTGCAGATGGTATTTTGGGGAAAGGTGAAATGTTAATTAAAATGGATATGGGCCACCACGAGAACTGCTCTGGTCCTAGTATGTTGTCCCCCTCCCCCATTCAAACGCGGAACTTTGTTTCCCTCCCCACACCTGACAGCTCGTCACACCCACCCACACCTGGCACCCTGTCACGCCTACTCACACCTGGCACCTCGTCACACCCACCCACACTCCACCATGCGCTCTCACTCAGTGTGCTCACCTTCAACTCACGGAACCCGCTCAACTCTGACCTTTGGCTGGATGTTGCTATGGCGCTGGAGGCTGGCTGATGACCCACGTATTTCCCAGTAGCAATATTGGTCTCCCATTTCTCCCTTTTTTCCACTTTTTCAACATTTCACTTAATGTTAACCTGTCTCATCTCTACCCTATTTAAATAAACAGCTTGGAGAAGGATCGGCCAATCATCCTGTAACATAAGATTCACTGTAATGTCTGATTCCCTTTAGGTTTTTACGGTGTGTAATTTCGCTATACTTTAAGATGACCTATGGTGACCTTACTCCAGTAGGCTTACCTTTCAAGGCAGGGTGCCTTGATGATGGTGAAGTACTCTTGACCCAAGGAATTGGAGCTGTACTACCCTTCCTCGGGTCAAATCTGATTACCTCCAATTCTCAAGCGCTGTATAACACTCGAATGTTAGCAGAATAATATTAATGACAACAAATAATAATAATAATAAAGGTAGAATTACCGACAATATGTTAGGTAAAAAGACATGTGTAACTAATGTGACATTTTATGGGGGCAACGTTTCGCTCTCCAGGAGCGAAACGTTGGCACAATATATAATTGCCCTAATATATAAATTTTGTAGGCCAACTTATTACTCGAGTCTTTGCTGTATACTGATCATATGGGTCTGCCAAAACTGGCTACGAGAAACGTTTCTGTATATGGTATTCTTTTATTCTATGAATACCTTACTCTTAGCTAACTGTGTTTATGGGAAAGTGATAAAACTGTAAGGGTCATAGAGCGCCTAAAAAATGTGAGGTAATTAGGGTTGATCAGAGGAAGGGAAAGGATAGCTCCAATTCTGCTTTACGAACTTTGGATCGTCCAAATATGGGCAAACGGAGTGTGCAACGATTCACTGATTTTCTATCAGATTTTTAGAATAATCACTTGGGAAGTGATCCTGAGACGTCTGTGACTAGAAGTAAGGGTGTAGCCATTCAACTAGGTTGAATGGCTACTATAAGTAAGGGTGCAGCCATTCAACTAGGTTGAATGGCTACTATAAGTAAGGGTGTAGCCATTCAACTAGGTTGAATTGCTACTATAAGTAAGGGTGCAGCCATTCAACTAGGTTGAATGGCTACTATAAGTAAGGGTGCAGCCATTCAACTAGGTTGAATGGCTACTATAAGTAAGGGTGTAGCCATTCAACTAGGTTGAATGGCTACTGTAAGTAAGGGTGCAGCCATTCAACTAGGTTGAATGGCTGCACCCTTATGAACTAGGATTTTCCAAGATTTTACGTTCTTAGATTTAATGTTGTACAGATTAGAAAATAAAATTAATTAGGATTTCATAGAAAATTAATATCATGGATAAAGTAATATGTCCTCCTCCCCCAGTCTTGTCTGCGGTAGTCATTTTTTATAATTTATATAAATATCTTGTCCTTAACTTGTCACCAGGTACTTTTATTTCTTGCACAACTAAAAATTTAATTTTGCTAAAGAATTTAGCAAAATTAAATTACCTAACCTACTATGGCTTCCTTGGATATTGAAGTGTTATTAGCAACTATTTCCCTTGTTGAAACTAAATATATGTACAGATCAGCTGATCTGAACCTACAGGATCAGCTGACTCTGATCCTGTAGGTGGTCTGAACAAAATCCAGTTCTATAAATGGAATGTATAGTAACAGACTATTTATGTTTATTAATGTTTAAAAACTGTACGTATACACGTTCTACTGGATACATTTCATTATTACGGGGAAAGTTTATTGCTAATTTAGTACTCCGGGAGGCACGTGTGAGAGGGGAATCCACAAAAGTTTAGCTTTAACCCCTTTGTCAATAATTTGTGCATGTCTGTCTGGCCGCAAACATTATCATATTACAGATTTGAAAAGAAGCTTTTCAGGAATTAAATAATATTGGGCAGGAAGCTACTTGAGCTGGCTGATGATTTGTTGTTGTTGTTTTTTAGATTTTGCCCTGAGGACGAGTTTATTGGCATCGCCACTCATCTTATTAGTGAACATATAACTATTAAAGCAGTAAAGTAGTTGACACGCCATTGGTGATATCAACTCCAAAACAAAATGTGCCAATGAGGATGAAGATCAAGACTATCATGAATGAGTGAAAGCCATGAATGAGAACGTAACTCCGGCACTACACACCCCCGACCTAGCAACATGGTCTGTGACGTCGCTACGCTCATTCATTCACAAACACTGGTCAAAGGTCGAGCTATAGTCCTCCTGTCCCCCCCCCCTCCCCTATTACCCACTAATGTTTCTTCTTGATATATGAATTTTTTTAAACTGTGTTGCGAAAAGGGCGATCGTATGTAAGTTTCGAGGAACACAGTAGACCATTACTGAGGAGTTGAAGTGTTATGTACAGTGTATGAGCCACCCTGTTGTGGACGAAAGGCGGAGAAGTGATTGTGCTTATGTATTAATATTTCCAGAGAAACTAGCGTTGAATAATGCCATGGCTTCAACTTTTTTTATGAAAATTAATATAATAATAATAATAATAATACAAGAGAGGCTATGTAAAATATTTAAAATTGAGGCCTATTACATCGGTGCAGATATCGTCGGGTATACTAAAGCTTCTGATAGGGTTAGAATTTATCCTCGAGTGCAAATTTGACCAGAGAGGTTCAGCGGACTTTCAGGGGGAACATAAACAGGACCATTTATCTCGTTATTTGTAGCACAATGATTGACAGGATAATTTATCACGCTATTTCAAGCGCATGTGTAGTATTACTGCAACTAATCCAGTGTACAGATTGCTTTACATAAGTATTTTTACCGCCCACATAGTGCTTCTGAAGTGTTTCCAGTGCTCGGGAGCAACTTTAAGCACATTTGTTACTAAGGTATTTCCAGCACATGCCTGGCATTGCTCGAGTATTTCGATTACGTTTAGTGTTTATTTACGTAATTGAATTCAGTTGACGCATTCAAGAACATGTGATAGGATTGAAGGAGAATGCACTCTCCCACTAGTAGATATTATTTGTATTACATTCGTAGTCATACAGCTATTTATCGTTTGTTTGCATTCTCTCCACTGTCCTTTCCGTAATTGTCATTTCTTTGTACCTGGAATAAATTTTGTTGTCTGTTTTTAGGAAAAATAAAATACGCTTGCTTCACATATAAGATGCGTTCACTATCTAGTGGAGTGGTACAGTAAATGTTACAAATGCTCTTTTAAGTCGCCTTTAACATTTAAATCACTTAAAGTGCAAGGAAGATTTTACTTCAGTCTTCCAAATGTGCTACTAGTATTGCCGGTGATTCCCACACACTAGCATTACTGCTCTTAAAACTATATATATATACACAGGAAAGACGTCAGATGATACCAGAACATACAGTACACTACTGATCTTTTTGTTATATATATATACACACACCCACACATAGACAGATATTACGCAAAGCCGGGAGTGAAACTAAATGCAACGGAAAAATTGCAGTTAAATCATATATGCCCGGAAAGTATCCCAGTGTTTCCAGTGAGGCAAAGATTTATCGTATTGTTCCCAGTGCGCATTTCATTACTAGAGCTACTCCACTATACTTTTAGTGTTACTGTTTTATCAGATCTTAGTATTAATATTGTACATCAGAAGAATATTTGTGTGTGTGTGTGTTTACTGCATGTAGAGCAAGGTCTGGGAAAGCTTAACAATACGGTCTTCCGCGTACCCCCATTTAGAGCTTGATTACTGGAATCTCTGTATTTTTTACAGTATATGTATTATAAGTGAGCAGGTTTAAATATAACGATGTATAATGGAAACACCTTAAAAGGTCCCCAAAGAGTATAGTCTAAATTTATGTAAAAAAAAACATATATGTAAATTAGAATTTTGAAACAAGTAATACAGGTAACGGCTTATGAAATATGCGAATAGAGCGCTAAAACGGGAATCCTAAAAGCAGAATTTGCGGCGTGCAATATATTTTTGGAAAGGTGTAGAGGGCAGTAGAATAGGCGACAAGAGAAACGTGAGCCCCGCGGCGTTCCCTCGTCTGGGTCCTATGCTGTATTGATCACTTTGCTGACGTCATTACTCCCGGCTGCCTGCGTCACGATTTGTGAATGAACCCTCCCACGCGCGTGACGTCATCAGGACGTCAACCAATAGCAACTCACCTCCTGGATTCATTATTACCTTTAGCGTACCGAAACTATCATTTACCCTAAACTAATTTTGTATATTTGGTGAACATGAAAGTTTCTGTATCAGATGCAAGATTGATTCTGTCATGGCATATATTTCTTATTTGTTGGATTGCATGACAAATTTCCGTTTCCTAAGATCAATGAATGAACATATTTGGAAATTTATGGCAATAATAATTTTTGAAAATTAGCTTAATCATCTAGTTTCATGCAACTGTTGTCCTTTGCGTGACTTTTTATTTTTATTTTTTGTTAGACTTGCGTGTTTATTACTCTACGACCAAAAGATGGTTCTATTGATCCGATGGTCGCACTCACTTCCGGTTGTGCTGCGTCGGAACTCAGAGTCGTCACTCATTTGATCTCTGGCTCCCACAGCAGCCGACTTTAGGGCGTGTGCTCTGACCTATACTTGTCCCTCAGTTGACCTCTGCTTATCTTAATTTGGAATGTAAAAGAGCACAAGAACAATGGGATATATAGAAGACCCATTTATCAGTACGAGATATTTCATATTTATATCCATTTACCATTTATTTATTAAGCTTATGTATCGAGGTGTGTATCTTAGTGTATATGCTCTGAGAGCACTTTAATCTCTATTTTAGGGCCTAAAATATGCTTGGTTATTAACGCGGCTTACAAGCCGTGTTAATAACCCTCGTGAAGTCGATAGACTACACCCGATAAGTTTTATAAATATGGAAATACTTCCCATTTATTTTGTCCAACACTATGTACTTTAACAGTATGTAGTTTAGCAAACACGGCTTCCAGGGTAATATCCAGGAGAGTACTTGGGAGTTCAGCTTTAAGGCGGTTGACCCCCATCTCCTGTTTGTTTAAATGGGAGCAGGGAAAGACGAGAG